TGTAACAAAAGAATTCGCAAACGATAAAATTCGAAATTTGAACTCTGATAAAACAAAAAAGAAATATTTATACGAACTATCGATCTAACTGGCCTTAACAACAAAATAAAATGTCACATTCTAAATGGTCACATTGTGGACAGAAAAATAAGGGACATCACGTGACAGATAAGTTATCTATAATTGTTTTTACGCAGTACCCGATCTAAAATTATAATTCCGGGGAAGAACTTATTTTTTGGTACGAAAAAGAGGAACGTTTTTTTTTTTCTTTCGAGAAAAACGTTAGCACTATGATTACAAAATTCACAAAATTAATTTGCAATATAAGAGTGCAATTATCAAATAAAAGAAACATAAAAAAATTTCGTAAGCAGTGAATAAGTGATATAATTTGGCTGATATAATTTGTTGACACATCACATTACTTCGGCATTAAAGCAGCTGCCTATTTGTAAGGTATTCAGTAAACAAAGATAATTGCTGATAAGCACATACTTTAGAACATATTTATTTTTAGAAACAAACAAAATACAGTTTTTGCAAGTGATACGAATGCATTTTTATAATCGTAGATAGGTTACGCAATTAATAATATATAAAACCTTTGCAAAAGGATATTGAGGCGAAAATAATTTTATATTTTCGCTGTTGCTTTCGGTATAGTGAAATTTTCGATACAAGTAAGAAAGTAATTTTCATAAAGCAATTAGTAAGGTAAATTTTTTAAAAAAAAATTAATAAGTTTCAAAAATATAAATAAGTTTAAATATATAGATTCGTCTTATTATGTAAAGTAATTTTCAATTATAAGAAAATTATTATAAAATAAAATGAAAGCTAGAAAAGTTGGAATTTGAGTTTTTATAATAAATAATTCCGTGGCTATAACAGGCCACGTAATGTGTTGAAAAAGCAATTGGGACATTTTTCAAATATTTTTGCTCTGTAAAATATTTTCCCAGCATTTTTCAAAAAAATTAGGGCCTGGACATTTGATGGTGTCCAAGTCCTAATTTCTTAGTGACATTTTTCAAAGAAAAAAAAATCAGGCCTTTTTTTAGAACAGTATTCATACCTCAGACTACTTTTAAAAACGTAAAACGACAAACTAATAAGAAATTTTAGTTTGCTCTAATTAAGTATATGTAATTGCACTGCTACGTACTTCAGATTTATATTGTTTTGAGCAGAAAGTTCTAACAATTTCCAGTATAATTTTATTAAGGACGCACTCAACAACAGTCAGTGTAATAATTGTTTTCTTCTTTTAAGCTGCCCAAATTATGTCTGATAATTAAAGAGTATATTAAGCATGACTATGAAATAAGCATATTCATTTATAACATATCTGATTGTTAAAACCATAGTCCAAAAGTTACAATAAAAGCAAAAATTAAGAAATTACTTTTCCACTATAGAAACCTTGTTTTTAAATTTGATAATTAACTATCAGGTGTTTGGTCATAGAACTACGCATGAAAGAGTAATACAGCTTTGCCAATCTTCCAAAATTTAATGCGAATTCTTGAATAATAAATAATTCCATTTGTCTACACTGGCTCCATCTCCTTATTAGTCCCCCTCTTTCCTATTTTTTTAAACTGAAATTTTTTAAATCGAAACAAATAAAGTAGCTCAAATAAAACCAAATTATTTTAAAGATGTCTGAATGTAATCAGTCAGTTGCACAGCATAAATTAAAATTAGTATAAAATTAAAATTCTTAAAAAAAAAAAATATCAAGTGTAAATTAAATTACCTTTTACGTTAGCATAAAATATGCTTTTTTTGATGAATTATATATTTTTTTCTCTTTTTAAAATAGAGTATTCATGTGATTGCATTCCACATTTGGCGGGGATCTCATTGAAGTTTTCTGCCCTGCTATATATTTACATCTAAACTCTACAAAAGGATGATAACTCCATAGTTTAATAAATGGAGTAATCGTGGGCGTCACTGAGGCCCAATTTTTAAGTGGGACGAAATTAAATTACGCAGTCACAATAATTTTCTAAACTTTACATACAAAAAAAAAAAAAAAGTCTTTAAGTGTAAAAAATACTTTCAAAAAGATAAATTTTTTTTTTAAAATCTCTCTCATTTTTAACTTAAGGGATTTAAATCGATGATAATTCGCGAAAATTTTCTTTTTTTGTCTGAAATATTAAGAATGGATTTTAGATACTTCTAATTATTGAGGTGAACATGTACCCAACGACAGCATGGAGCTATATAATACTGTATTTATTTATTCCTCTCTCATATGAGCTGCTTTTGACGTGAATATTTTTTTCGTTTTTTTTGTATCTAAAATTATATCTCAAAAGCGGTCGTTGAAGAACATCCTATCCTTAATTTGTTTCTTAGTTTTTTTGTAAGCATTTCTCTACTACGCTAAGGCGTCTTCCCACTAAGCAGGTGGATAAAGTAAACACACTAAATTCCTATGACAAGAAAGAAAAAGGATAGAAATTTTTAACCATTTCTTACTGAATGCTGATAAATTAATTGGGCGACAGTATCATGAAGTAAGTCTTCAGTCAAACGGTTTTTAAAGATTGCGAAAAAATATTCGTTTCAGAGCCCTTTTTACGTTTACTTTCTGCTATTACATCATTCAAATCCATTTTCTGTGAGGAATCATATTCAATGCTCATGACTGAATTTTTCTTCAGTCATACTATTTCTTGACATATTTTTTATTTGCAGAGTGAACGCTTGCCGCTTCAATTAGTTATCATGAGTGACAAAAAAATTCGGAGTGAAATGTCTATGTTTGGAAATGTACCAACGAGATTATTATTTTTTACTATTTTATACATGTCATCTACTGCTAATTATCTTGGGCTAAATAATGCTTGAAGCGTTCTAATTCTCGCTATAGTTCTTTTTCATTCACATTATTGGCATAAATTTTTACACTGAAGCATTAAATCCTTGGATTTTAAATTTGAAAAAAAAAAAAAAAAAAATCCGAACAAATCTCACATGCCGTTGAACGAGATTTTGACTGATCTATGTTCCGCAGTGGACTGATCGTTAAGACACGGTTCCCAGCAGATCACCGGCTGCGGTTAGTGTGCGGGTGGGTGACCACTTGGATCAGTCTGCGTAGGGACCGAGGGTGTGCAGTATTGGTCCTCGTTAAACTGTGCTACCGTAAAGTGCTCGACTTCACATGCAGGTCGTCGGGCTACCGAAGCGGGGGAGCCATCCCCTCTGCAGAGGATCAAAATTGTGATGGCATGGCTTCGGATCATCCTCAGGGATGTTGACCAGACCGTCGCCAATAACCATTGTGCAGCTCTAGTGCGACGTAAATGAACTACTACTGCTACTTGACTGATCAATGTGTCAATAACTGGGAGATATACTCCAACTTTAAATCGTTCGCTACCTTGTTATATAAATACGGCACAGGGCCCCATGCCCAAGAGGTCGTAGGTTCGATCCCGCCGGCCGAAGACGTGTAGTAAACGGTGACTGATGCACGTTAAATCTGTCGGGGGTCACCTCCGAGTTCCCATAACAAATCAATACCTCTGAAGATACTGGAGAGCTCCCTAGTCTTCTGGATCAAAATTACAAGGATACAGAGTTGCACTTTGGTAGTCGTACATCCAGTATTAGGTATGCTGTTCAACGACGGTTGTTTAAAAAAAAAACACATTTATGCCTTGATCATTAGGGAAACATACAATAGCATCAGACAAGTATTCATTTTTCAGCCTTTCAAATGGAAAAAAAAAAAATTCCAATAACCGTCCCACGAATAATGGACGAAAAACAGACACAAAGAATACCGACTTACTTTTCACACAGTCAATGTTTTACCTGATAAATAATTTATCCCTAACCTGGGTTATAACACTCTCTACAATACGATGACTTGCATTCTGGTAAAAAAAAATTTTTTTTAGCACAGAACAGTTTAGAACATGTTAGACAATCGCTCCCTAAAGCTATCTCCCTTTCTTTTTGTTTTACAGGGTTTGTAAGTTAGTACACGGTACTTTCTGGACATAAATGCACCCCAGAAGCTTATAGAATTCATACCCTCAGGAGCATGGGCTATTATTTGGGAGGATCAATTAATTAAACAATTAAAAAAAAATATCAGCAATTGAGCCCTCAGTTAATGATTCAACTCTGGTAATCGCAAAAATCGCTTTTCCCTTACTCCACTACCTTTCAGTAAGAAATAGGAATAAGAAACAAGTCGATACTCTGGCTGTTGCTCGAAAACGTAACCTAGAGGCGCCAATTTTAGTTACAAGGAGTCAAAATCATGCAATTTAGATTCAAAGTAATTAAAAGTATTCATCAGACCGATCCTGTCTTAAACGATCCCCAAGATTCATATTATAGGCTGTATAATATTTCAAAAGATAATTTTATTTCCTTACAATAATATTAAAGACAGTGAAAGTTTTGAAACGACTAATTTTATTTATGCAATCCAAGAATGGTTTCTTGCAATAATCAAATTTGTGTAACTTTAGAATTCTGATGATGAAATCTTGTGATTAAAATCGGGCGAAAAAATTGATGTCGTAAATGAATAATTTCATTGAAAATAAAATAAAATTTTAGAAGAAAAGTGAATTTTCACTCATAATCAGTATCGATATGACTGAGAAGATTATTCATTGTATTATAAATTCATTGTATCGAGAATTATCGTTTTTTCTTCCCTTATAATTTTAAAATTTATTTAAATGTTTAAAAATAAAATACCAAATGAAACAAATATAACTAATATCTCTAAAATACATGAAAAGGCAGAGATATTCGAGAATTCCAAGTTCGTAAATGTGATATTTTATTCTATTGAAATTACTTTCTGTCTTAAATGAAAAAAAAAAAAAACTTAGATAATAAACTAAAACTATTACTGAAGAAAACAAACACTTTAAATATTTTTTTCAAAATTACTTTAATTAAGCAACAAAGATATAGCAATTATGAAAAAGATAAAACAAATTTTGAGAAAATTGATTACATATTCTCATATACGGAATTTTATTGCAAACATAATCATAATAATTGATAACATATTCTAATATGCAGAAATCTTATTGCACACATAATCATAATAATGGATAACATATTCTCATATGCAGAAATCTTATTGCACACATAATATAACGAAATCTTAAACAGAAATTAAATGGATTTCAAAATTTGAACAGAATTAAAATAGTAATAAAAATAATCAAAGAGGAGATAAAAAAACAAAACAAATTTGATTGATTTATTTACCAGATATTGATGCCATTAAAATTTAGATTTATTGTGAAACTCAAAATGGCTTTTTCCTAGCTTTAACAATTGTCATCTTAGCATTGCAGTGCACCAAGCCATACCAAATATAAGAGTCATCTACAGGTTTTGCAGTGCATCATATCATACAAAATGTTAAGTTCTTATTTACAGGTTTGAATTACAAAAATGTGGAACTGATTGTTACAGTCTATTTCATCATCAGCACAAGAAGTGGAGTATGAGGGATCCAGTTATAATAATGAATTTTACAACACTATATAAAATCACCATGTAAAATTCCTGTATCACAAGTTGAGGCACCGTCCAAAAAAAGCAAAGCATGTCTACAAAGGCTGTTTGTCGGCCAATGTATCAATGAGGTTACAGTTCTGAACTTTTGAGACCATGCTGCAGAGACAAGCTCACTGCCTTAACAATTGTGCCATTACAGTTACCTAATTTGAATTAAAACATCAACTGTACTTAGAATGAGTCTGCAGTTAAGATGGGTTTTTTTTAAAAATATTTCACCCTTGAAATTTTCTTATCCATTTTGTCATTGAAGAATAAGATAATATCTTATCCATTTTGTCATTGAAGAATAAGAGAAGATAATAGATTCTCTTAATTTTAAAAAACAAAACTTATCATTTTGGTGCTAATTATATTTTAGAACTCAATTATAAAGAGTAGGCTGCGATGTATAAGTGGTTAAGGAGCTGAACTGTCATCCTTGAAGGACGAGGGTTTAATTCCCAGAAGCAGCTTGGAGACTATCTTTAGATTGCTAGGTATTAAATTGTCTGGGAAATAAAGGCAGTTTGTGCACAATGCAGACCACTTTGTCATCCTTATGCTGTTGATCAAGAAATAGTGGAAACTTAAATATGTGTAACAATAAAATTAGAAACATTCCATTGCTCTCATTTAAGTTAAGGTAAAAACATATTTCAAAAATGGCATCAATATCTGGTTACCACCGGGAACCATGACTACAAAAAAATTTTCTCATGCAGAGAAGCAATTTGAACAAACAGACAACAAAATCTTTTCTCCCCTTTCAACAGGCACTTGATAAATACAATGAATTTATCTTCTCAGTCATAAAGACTTGTATCCTAAAAAAGGAAATAAATTGACACTATCATTGACATGCCACTAAACAGTGATATTGATAAATGTACAATATGAAACATGCTTATAAACCAGACAAAAAAAGTTCATCCCTACCTATATTTAGAAAAAAAATTTGGCTAAATTTGAAAGAGAAATGATTAAAAAGGAGCATATATACATTGCTATCAAGCACAAATTATGGCACAAAAATGTGCATACTGCAGCTTGGGTTCTTCCTCATAGTTGAAACACAAAATGACAGAAGAAAACAGGAGATAAATAGCAGTAAGAAGAAAAAAAAAGGCCTGACACGTGACCCAATCAGAAATAAAAATACTAAAATTGCATAAGAAAGCTGGTTTGTCTGCATATTTGGCTATATAAATGCACAATTATACAAGATACTGAAGTAAGAAAAAGTTTTGCTCAAAAAATAATGAATTTAGTAAAAATACTAAAAAATAATTTCCGAGTGGTTTAACCTATAAGAAAGAACTTAATAAGATAATTAAATAAGACATATATAAGTAAGTGTGTGAATGGGAGGGTAGAATAAGGACAATGTCTAAACGAAAATATGCTTAGAATCTCAGTTTATGTTGTCAAAATTTTAAGTTATTTTTTAAAAAAATTTCTGGTATTACGAATTAAATAACTTAACTGTTACTCTGTTTAAATAAATAATCCTAAGAAACTGTAGCTGTAAGATATTACTAGATTAAAAACTTCATTCACTACAAAAATATTACAAATTGGAAATGACAGACTTGCCAGATGTGAAAGAGAAGAAACAAAAAGTGATTTGAAAAATAAAACAGAAAGTTGCCGTTAACGAAAAATAAAGGTGATAAACTAAACTAGAAAAATCACAGTGCAGCAGCGAAGCAACCTGATCTTACATTTATACTTAGTATCAGGTCAAAATTAAAAAGTATTTGGATTTTACTTTAAAAAATCAATAAAAAAAGGTAACTTCTGTACACTAGCCAAATCATTCAACAAAAAAATAAGCACCTTTTAAGCACTTAAAAAAATATAATTAGGCAGTGTTGGAAAGTTTTTGACAATTGACGGTTTTATCTCGTTTTAACCGTCATGTCAAAACAAATAGCATTGTCTTTGACAATTGTAAAAAATCATGAAGTTTTGAATCATATAAAATGAACGGCGTTATCATACACTACAGACTGACAATACAATACGCCAAAATAGATTGGGATTGAATTAATTGTGGAAACGTTGAATATAACAATGTAAACCATTTTATAGTGAAAATCAACAAGGAAAAAATCTCATTTTGAAAAAGGGAAAATTAAGCACTTTTTAAAAACACCCAATGAAAAAAGCACCTTTAGGGGCTTTTAAAAAACGAAAATAAGCACCTTTAAACTTTTTAAAAACACTATGCACACTGGTAATAGAAATAATTAAAAAATAAATAAATAAAAGCTTACCAAGCTAAGTTGTGGTAGGCACCACATGGAATTCTCACACGGATAGTCTTCAAACTGTCTCATAACTGTTTCGTTCCAAACCTGAAATAGACATTTAAACATTTTGTTTCATACATGAATAAAAACATCTAAAATAGTTTAAAAAAGTTACTTGCAGGGGAATTTAAGTAAAACTCTTAATTGCAAAGGCAAAAACTAAAGCAAATTCAGGAGCTCTGTATATAACTGTTGTTATGAACAAGTAGATTTATAAAATAACTGAGAAAAACAGTTCAATGAGCAGCGAAGCAACCTGATCTTACCTTTATACTTAGTATCAGGTGAACTGTAAAAATTATTTGGATTTCACTTTAAAAAATCAATAAAAAATAACAACTTCTGTACAGTAATAATAAAAAAAAGCTTACCGAACTAAGTTGTGTTTGGCACCACATGGGATCCCCATTTGTAAGCTGTTCTGGAGATGCATCAGTGGAATTTTCAGACGGATAGCCTTCGAACTGACTCGTAACTGTTTCTTTCCAGACCTTAAATAGATATTTAAACATTAAGTAATAATATTAGTAGTCATTGGATTTTAAAAAACAGTATTTTTTCTTCAAGAAAAAATACTAAGCTACACTTAAAATATTAATACTTACAGAACTAAACTGTGACTGCATAGGATTCGTTTCTATGAGTTCTTCTGGAGATGCATCAGTAGAATCTTCATTTAGATATTCTTCTAACTGTGTTAGATCCATGTCTTCCCAATCCTAAAGTAAATATTTAAAGAATATACTCATTGGATTTAAAAATACAGGGTGTTTTCTAATGACCACCTTAAATATATATTTTGAGAAATCTTGTCACTTGTGAAGTAGAAAGATATTTTAAAATCATTTTTCTTTATTAGTGATTCAATGGAATGCAATAGCATTTCTGTTGTCCTTTAATGCTAACTTGTGATTACATTTTACTTATTTCAGGCGAGCAAGTGGACAAAAATAAAAAAAAAAGCTGAACTTTTACAACAGACACTATGAGGCAGGAAGTGTTCAATCTAATGCTGTGATATCAATAAGACATATAAAATAATAACTTCTAACTCTGTCGTGCGATTTTTAAAATTAAAAGTGGCAGAAGCATTTAGACAGTGAAATTAAAATGCTTCTCATATACAATTTTAAACTTCTTTGAGACCTACTATATTGCAGAAAATTAAGCAAATAAGGCTTAATAATAATCATCTTAAATTAATTGCCAGCTAATCATTTTTAATTAAAACGGTCGCAAACTTTCACCTCAATATCTTCTGATAGATTATTACTAACAGTTTTAGTCACTTTGAATGTTTTGTTTAATGAATCATTCAGCTGTATTTATCAAATTGACTTCCATCGTAAAAATACATTCACCTTACGATGCACCACGTGAAAAGGACTCTAGTAAACAAAAAACAAATATGAGTACGGACAAATGCACAAACAGCCAAAAATAAGAACTAGCGGAGTCGAGAGAACTATAATAATATTCACGGATGTGCAAATTCAATATGCATTGCATCAGCGAGGAAACTGATCATTGTTTGATATTCCATGATTGCTTCGATGATCATTCTTTCTCTGAAGGCTACTGCAGGGAAAAAATGTTCCATTCCAAGTATAACTATTTTTCAAGCAGCTTGGGTTTCAGCAGTTATAGGGGTCTGTAATCTTTTTAGCAGTAATCTTTTCATCCCTGTTATTTGGACTTAACTTTTGATGAATTTCAGAGTTGAGTTCTTTTTCTCCGAGCAATGATAAAAATAATAAGACAAGTACAATGAACACTTATTTCAAAATCAAAATTTTTATTTTGGACAAGCAAGTCTAATAATATTTTTGATTTTTAAATAAGAAGCACCCACTGAACTATATGACCAGGAGAAAAAAAAAATACATCTGCATAATTTTTCAAACTATTATTTTTAGTTACCATGCAATTATTGATGAGTACGATATTTTTAAAAACAATTAAAATACATTTTAATTTTTTAAATTAAATGATTTGTTTTTTTGTTAACAACGAAAACTTTTTCAACCTATTTTGGCACTAATGCAAAATTTAATAAGTTTAAAAGGTAGACACTTAAAGTAGCATGTTCTACTTAAGGTACAAAAAGCATTACTAAATATAAGGTGAACTTTATTAATCACAATAAAATGTCCTAAAAAATACTTAAAACAAACAGCAACTTTCCACAGGGTGCGTAGCCAAATCTTTGAGTCAAAAATAAGCACTTTTTAAAAACTTTTCAAGCACTTTACAAAAATTTTCAAGCACTCAAAAAATTCACATTCAATCAATGAAATAAAAAAGTAATCTAGCACAAAAAAATATTAATAATTTTTATTTATATTTTTAAAAAAGTTTCTAATCTATTTAACAATCTTACACTACAATAAACCCTTTCTTTCCAAGATAATTAAAAATATATATAGGTTACTAACCAGTTTTTAGCAATGTGGAGTTTGCCAGCTCTACTCTTAAAATGAATTACAATTGATTCAATCACATAAAACAAAGATTTATTAAGATTTATAATAACAATTTCACTTAAATGCAAAAAAGGATATAAACATACATAAGGCATATTTATTTTCCATACAGTTTCATATATAGTTTTCATGTTATTTCTTATCAACAAATAGTTAATTAAATGACAGGAACATTATTTTTTATCAGATAATTTGTTTTCTAGATCCAACAGTTCTTTCTGCTTTTTATTAATATCAATTCATATAGAATTAGTTTTTTTTCAAAAATGAAAATTTTCTGCCTGGTGAGCCAGCTCGCTTGCTTTATTCAGGTTTCTAACTATATATAAAAATCCAGTGATGGTGTGGCACCAGCCAATGAAATCTAAGGTATCACGTGACAGTATGAAAGAAGTAGCCAATCCAAGCGAGGATGCAGTTTTAAGCCAATCAGAAAAGAGAACGCATTCGCGTCAAAGCTTTTTGTTGATTTACTTTGAGTGGGTTTTTGCTGATTACATCTCATCTTATCTTATCATTCTTATGCCTATCCAGTGATTGATATCTTTTAATGTTTACATTTTTGTTGTTTGCTATTATAAAGCTTACTGAGGCTTGCTTACCTTAAAATGGTTAAATTTTAAATCACATTTATTTATTCAACTCATTTCAATCATTTGGAATTTCAGTATAATGTCTGACAGGACAGATCGCGATCGAGAATATCGCAGACAGCGGAGATTGGATCCCACGTTTCGTCAAAATGAACAAGAGCGTCGAAGAATAAATCGACAAAATAATCGAGAGCTTACTAATGCCCGCCAAAGAGAAAATCGAAGTAGGGCAGCTAATCGTCTTCGAGAAATAGATGAAAATCAGTATTTGGGAGAATCGTACAGTCGTGACTGTCCACCTCTTTTGATTGGATCTATGTCTGTAGAATGCTCTCATTGCAGGGCACTATCCTTTGTAGCAGAGCATGGAAGAATAAAACACAATTGCTGTCACAATGGCAAGATAAAGCTGAACCCAACTCATCCGTATCCAGAAACTTTGAAACAGCTTTTATTGGGAAATGACAATGACTCAATGAATTTCAGGCAAAATATACGTTTTCACAATTCGTCTTTTGCTATGGCAGCATTTTGTGCAACCCAAGAAATTCAATTTAAAGGTATAAGCTGTGTTGCTCTTCGTGGGGAAGTTAACGCAATGGCCACAACCAGCATCATGCCAGCGAACAATGAAAAACCACGTTTTGCGCAAATCTATATCCATGAAAATGAAACTGCTTTGGCCTGCCGAACATCTGAGCGCTGCAAACCAAGTGTTTTAAAAATCATTCAAGATGTTATGCAGCTAAACCCATACGCTCAAGTGTATAAATCGCTGTTTGAAGCTTATAAGAGGCATCCTACGGAGAGTGTTCGCCTTGAATTTCACAAGTTGACCACTACTGATGGCAGACGTTATAATCTTCCAACATCTGGTGCTGCTGCTGAAGTGTCGGCTGTTGTTGTGACAGGTGCTGAAGGTTTAATACCTGATCATGTACAATTTATCGCATACCCAAAACACCAGTTTGTGTGTCAAAAGATGTATAAACTGTCTCATCATGTGGAACCAATGGTTTTCCCATTGCTTTTTCCATCAGGTGATCCTGGTTATTCCCTAAACGTACCAAATAATGCAGGATCAAGTCGTGTTACTGCTGTACAGTATTTTGGATGGCGGTTGCGAGTGCTTAGAGACTTTAACATTTTCACCTCTGCTGGTCGTTTATCCCAGCAATATATTCTACATGGTTACATTACTATGGAGTGGAACAGGCTGAATTATATCAAAAGTCATCAGAATTTATTTCGGAGAGAAACACTTCAAGGGCTGATTGATCATGTGCAGTATAGTTCCGCCAATACCTCAGACATTGTACGACTTGGGCGAGCTGTCATTCTTCCATCATCATTTGTTGGCAGTCCGAGAGCAATGCAGCAGCATTTCCAAGATTGTATGGCTCTCTCAAGAGATGTCGGACGACCTGATTTGTTTGTAACTTTCACAGCAAATCCACAGTGGCCAGAAATTAGAGAATACTTGAGTCAACTTCCAACAGGATTCACTGCAAGTGACATTCCACATGTTGTTGTACGAGCATTCTATTGCAGATTTGAGGAGTTTGTGAAAGAGATAGCTGCAGGAAAGGTTTTTGGCAAAATAATGGGCTATACTTTTAATATTGAATTTCAAAAGAGAGGTCTCCCACATGCCCATTGTTTATTCATTCTCAACCCACGTGACAAATTGCTGACCCCATCATCAATTGATAGATTTATCTGTGCTGAAATACCTCCAAAAGATAATTTTCCAAATCTGCATCAAAAAGTGTCCAAACATATGTTACATGGCCCACATAGTGAAGCAACTCCATGTTATGACAAAACAAGTGGCATCTGTACAAAAAAATTTCCTTTCGCTTTTCGAGAAGAAACGGATATGTCTGGTGATGGTTTTCCTTTATATAGACGTAGAGATAACAGGAGTGATATGCATTTCTATAACAAACGTATTGGAAACTTGCTAATTCCTGTCGATAATTCGATGGTTGTTCCCTACAATGCCTATCTCCTTCTGAAATACAATTGTCATATCAATGTGGAGTACTGTGGAAGTGTAATGGCGTACAAATACATTTTTAAATATGTTAACAAAGGGCACGACAGAATCAAGGTGACAATTTCGAATGATGATAATGGGGTACAATTAAGAAATGAAGTTGACGAGTTCATCGATAGCCGATATGTAAGCTCAATGGAGGCAGCTTGGCGTTTATTGGAATTGCCGATGCATGACAACAGCCATACAGTTATTAGATTGCCAGTACATTTGCCTGGTAATCAACAGGTAACATTTCAAGAGGGTCAAGAAGTTAATGCCATAAATTCTGTGAATTCTGTAACTCAGTTGATGGGTTTTTTCCAGTTGAATGAGAATGATGTGGAAGCAAAATCTTTGAAATATATCGAGATCCCAAAGCATTATGTGTGGGTACAAAAAGATCGCCAATGGAAAAGAAGGCAACGTGGAAATAATAAGATAGTTGTTCGCATGTATGCCGTTTCACCCAGAGACAGTGAACGATTCTTCTTAAAATATTTGCTACATCATGTTTGTGGTCCAGTATCATTTGAGGATTTGCGAACAGTTGATGGCGTAACGTTCAACTCTTTTCGTGAAGCAGCTTATACTTTGGGATTTGGTGATGGGGACAATAAAATGGAGGAAATGTTAACAGAAGTGGTTCATTTTATGATGCCCAAAGAGCTCTGCGTTTTTTTCTCACATTTGTTATTGGCTTGCAATCAAATTGATGCCATTCAGTTGTGGGATAAATTTAAAAGCTACATGTGTGAAGATGCAAATGAGAATGAGTGCCTTCTGGAAATTGAAAGCCGTTTAAACAGTGAGGACAAAACTTTGTCTGACTATGGATTACCATCTGTTGTTACGATAGAACCATCAAATGTTGATGAAGTTTCTTCAGAGCAGCATCTCAAAATTTCTCAAGATATGATATCGAAACTTAACCTTGAACAGAAACAAGCCTTTCAAGAAATTATAAATTGCATTAATGATGTTAACAATTCCAACAAATTATTTTTTATCGATGGCCCAGGTGGTACTGGGAAAACTTTTTTATACAAATGCTTATACCATCACCAGAGGCATCTAAATAAAAACATTATATGTGTGGCTTGGACAGGCATTGCAGCCATATTATTACCAAATGGCCGAACAGCCCATCGGATTTTTAAGCTGCCATTGACAATGCCATCAGCAGAAGAACAACTTAGCCCTATTTATTTGGACAAAAGGACTAAACGTTTATTAGTCAATGCAGATCTCTTCATCTGGGATGAGGCCTCGATGATACCTGGTGTTGCTCTTAAATTAATTGATGTCACCCTGAGAGACTTATTGAAATCCGAAGCACCATATGGAGGGAAATGCTTTCTATTTGGCGGTGACTTTAGACAAGTTTTGCCGGTTATCAAAAGAGCAGGCAAACACCAAATTGTGAATGGAACAATGAAATGTTTGCCGATGTGGGAAACAGTAAAGCGATTTTCGCTTAACAAAAATATGCGTGCTACAGCACAAAGCTTCGGTGATTGGCTTCTTACTGTTGGAAACGGTTCAGTATCTCATCTGACAGTTCGTGAATTCCTATGTGAAAACATAATTAGTGAAGTTTTCGGTGAAATACTAACTGAAGATGTATTACGCACCTCAGTTCTTCTTGCTCCACTAAATGATCAAGTTCATAAACTTAACAGTGCCGTCCTACAAAAACTGCCCGGCAATATTATTGAATGCCGTTCATATGATAAAGCTACTTCATGTGATGGTGATGAAACGGACGATGAAAGTGTAATGTTGCGCTTTCAGCCAGAATATTTGGCAAAAGTCAATATCACAGGATTACCGCTTCATAATCTTCAACTTAAAGTTGGAGCTGTAGTGATGCTAATCAGAAATTTGTGTATTGCCGATGGATTGTGCAATGGCACACGTTTGATTGTACGGAAAATAACTAAAAATGTTCTCTTTTGTACAGTTATGACTGGAAGTAAAGCTGGTAGTTCAGCTTGCATCCCTCGCATTACTTTAAATACTGGTGATAATAAAGAGTTGCCCTTTGTTTTGCATCGCACGCAATTTCCAGTCAGACTCGCATTCGCTATGACAATCAATAAAGCTCAAGGCCAGACTTTTGACAAAGTTGGCCTTTACATAGACCAGAATTCTCCACTATTTGGCCATGGCCAACTATATGTTGCTTTATCAAGGTGCCGGAGCATGTCTGGGATAAAAATTCAGATTGTTGGTGCAAATAGTGACATTGAAAGTTCCTCAATTAAGAACATTGTTTACACAGAAGTTTTGTAAATATCTTATTTTTGTGCATATTTTTTTCTTTGATAACCATTATGGTAAATTGTTATTATGTTTTTTATTTTTGTTTCTATAATTTGAATGTAAATTAATTGGGGGGTGATGCCCTCTAAAGAGAGCATCCAGTACATGATTCCCTTTGAATTTAATCATGTTGCTTTAAGAACATTGTTTATGCAGAAGTTTTGTAAATATCTTATTTTTTTGCATAGTTTTTTTCTTTGATAACCATTATGGTAAATTGTGATTGTTTTTTATTTTTGTTTTTATAATTTGAATGTCAATTAATAGGGGGGGGGATGACGCACTCTAAAGGGAGCGTCCGGCATCCAGTATATGATTCCCTCTGAATTGAATCAAATCTGCTCTGCCACACGTGCTTCGGTAACGGAACTTCAGTTCCGGCTAATGCCCTTATAATAACTTCTAATATATATGTATTCGAATCTCATTATCATGATAGAATTCCTTGCAAATTACTAAAAATTTTGTATTTTACTGATTATTAAGTTGATTGATTAGTACATTGTTAAATAAAATCCCTTATGCTCTGCTGCGCATTTAAATCCTTATATAAATGTATTAAAATTTGTTCGCGAAGCAAACAAAGAAGAATTGCGTAGCAATTCTCGGGGGTTGGCGAGCGGTAGCGAGCAGGGGGCGGAGCCCCCTAGTATTATATATTTCGCTAAATCTATTCTTTTCTTTTTTATGCAGAACATTTCTTCCTCTTTAGTTTTCTTTTATTTTCACTTTCCTTTTCTCTAGCCTTTTTGGCTTCTAGGTACACTCTATACTAAGCATTTGCGCTGCTACATGAAACACGCATTTCTCTCGTTATTTCAACTTTATGGAGCTCTCCACCTTTTTTTACATTATCGTAAATAATTCTCTGTGAAATACAGGAATTGTCACTCAATTTCAATGTTCTTGTTCACACTGAATCCTCTTTCCACTCACGCCTGTCCATGAGAAAGACTCAAAATTTATTACCCTCAAAATAAGGGATAATCATCTAATCTTGTTTTCTTATGGTCAAAGTTTCTGAAGGCACTTGCGTCAGGTATGACCACTTGTTTGTGAAAGTCTGAAAATACTGATACACATTCTCTTTCTTCAGTCTGATTCAGCCGATATAAAGTTAAAAGAATATTTTTCATCCAAAAAGAAACGGATGTAAATCGAAACAATCAGTACTTTCCTACATCATTGGTTCAACCCAAATGAATTCAACTTGATATTGAAGTCAGAACAAAAGCCCCCGTCAAAAAAGTGGTGAAAGTAAAATAAAATAAACAAGAATAAAATTAAAGTAAATTAAAAAGAAAAACAGGATCTGATATTTTCTATCCGAATTGGAGCACTCTGGTTTCGGTTTAAAGTGTATGCGTAAGTCACAACGTGGGTACGACATGAAGATTGCGTGAATGATTCCATAGCAAACACCCCATTTTTCGTGAAATGCATGGGATCAACCAGATATGACTGAAGAAAAAAAAAATTATTCGTGAAAAAAAGTACTTTTTAAAAACGTCAGCTGAAAAAAGCACCTTTAAAAGCTTTTAAAAACGAAATCCCCCAAAAAGCACCTTTAAGTACTTTTTACAAACGCTACGCACCCTGTTCCAGTTCCACAAACAGAATTAAAATTCCTAATAATTAATTATCACAGTAGTAGGTTCTCTTATTTAACTTTAAATTATAATCTTTAAAAAATACAATTAATCTATTTAGTTTTAAAAACAAGACTAATTCAAATAAAAGATTTAAGTGAAAATATGTTTACCATTATATTACCAATGTCCACATCTGAAAAGATTTCCGATGGGAGAATAGGGACCATGATATCGTAACCATGCTGCCAAGGAGAGATGGAAAAAAAATATATATTTTAGAACTAAATTATGATTTTATTTTCAACAAAAATTTATTTATCTTTCCCAAAATCTTTATTTTTATATGCTAGTTCTTAAGTTGATGCTATTAAAAAAATTAAAAAGAAGAAAGAGTGATTAAACCCTTTGAGATATAAATTGTATTTTTTATAATGTAATTTTTGCCGACCGGCCTGTGTAGGGGTTAGGGAACTGCCCTTGCATCAGAAAGGTTCTGGGTGCAAATCCAGGGCAAGACATGGATGTTCTTTCCTTCTCTATCTGTCCTTACTGTGGGGTGACTGTCAGGGACACCATCTAATATGGTGTCCCTGAAAGAGTGGCCAACAAATCTGCCCTTAGATGCCCAGGTGGGTCATTTGAAAAAGATGGGAATCGGGGGGGAGGGGGGGAAATAATGTTAATTTCTTAAAATATAAAAAGAACTTTGATCGAAGGAGATAAAAGTTATTTCTTATTTTGAACTGTTTAAGTCTTTAAGTCCAAGTCTTTTGAACAAGTTAATTCTCATTTATTTCTGCTTATTGTGTTACATATTCCATGTGGCAGAATCGCAATGGCACGGCGACATTGTTCAGTTCTAACACTGTTCTTTCTAAGAGTTTTTAAGGGGGACGACCCACCCTACTGGCCCTTTTATAGCAATAAATGCACCCTCTTCGTAAAAATAAGCTGCTAACTCTAAAAAACATTATCTTTTTATTGTGATTCCAGTTATAAAAAAGATGAAAAGTGTTATCCGTGTATAGACACTTAATTGTGATTACTATTAAATTTTGTATGTGATTTTAAATTTTATTTAAAACTAGTTTTCAAATTTTAAAACTATTTTTTAAATAAACACCTTTAAAAAAAATGCATCTTTAAATGTTTGTTTACTCTAAATTGCAGTATAAATTACAGAAAAAGCTTTCAAGTTGTTTTTCAATTAATTCGTTTGCTTAAATTTCTTGAGAAAAAACTAAAGTTTTTTTTTTTTTTTACTTCTAACGGCAGGCATTTAACTTTTACGTTCTTCGTCTAGGAAGAACCCGGAAGTATTACTCATTTAACGTTAACCCAGTGGGCACCTCTGAACCTAAGTCACGGAAACGAGCAACATTACCCACGCCACAGATACCCGTTTATAGGGTGGGCCACATTTATACAATCGAGAACAACACACAAAGAGAAACATCCATGCCCTGAGAGGGATTCGAACTCGCAGCCATTGGCTTCGCAGTCAGGAACGCTAATCACACAACCATCTGGTCGGCAGGAAAAAAATGCATTTTGATTAATTATTTTGTAAACTACAAATTTTTCTCTTATTTCGATAATGGGAAAGAATTACTTTTTGAAATATACTAATAAAATAGTGTGAGAGGGTAATTTAAAAATTGTTAAGGATAAAATTCAGTTACTACATATTACACATTTCGATATATATTTACGATGCTATAAGTAAATGCCCTTTCAATACTCAAAGTGCCCTGCTCTTTTTTATTCCTACGGAGAACTTTTATTTTTGCTTTGGTTTATAATTTCGTTATTCTTTTTTGCAGAAAGTTTAACACAAATTTATTTTCTCTAGAATTAACAGTCAAAACATGCCTTTTTCTAGCAATGAAGTGAAATTTTTTATTTTGGTCATATAAGTCTTGGGTTTGAAGGGAAAAGAAATGCTCGTGGCTTTTAGGATCTGCGCAGTGATAAAAATTATTTTTTCTATCATTTAAAGTTCATATAATTTATTAACAAAAACTCTATAAAATTCAAAAACATTTTCAAAAATTTGACACAACTATGATAAAAAAAGTAATTTCCGATAATTATTGCAGAGAAAATTGTAAAAATCATGCATTTTTTTGTAATTCAGAAAAACAATCAACACAGCATAGATAAAATATCTTTTTCAAAGATAGAAAATTAAGCCATTTTTTACACACCCAAATAAAATTACGTATTAAATTGAAAAATATATAAAAAAGACAAATTTTGTAATTACAGCGCTTCTGTTACTCTAGTAACACATATATTTGTCATTATTAAAAGTTTCTTGTATAAAAGATATTGGTGATAGTGAGATTTATCACATAAAAGTCGAAAAATTCTGCCACAGGGCCTTCTGTATTTTGAACTTTTTTATTTTCCATGCACAGTTGATACTTTTAATCTGAGTAATAGTTCACAGTAATAAAAACTATCAAAATCTTTCTTTCTAGAGAAGAAAACATTTAATTTCAGAAATATATAATTTATGCAGAAAATATGAAATTACCTCTAAAACTAAGGCAGCGGTCGAAGCACACATCTCTCTTCCAGCATTCGCCTGGGCGGCGGTCGAAGCACACATCTCTCTTCCGGCATACGCCTGGGCGGCGGTCGAAGCACACATCTCTCTTCCGGCATTCGCCTGGGCGGCGGTCGAAGCACACACCTCTCTTCCGGCATTCGCCTGGGCGGCGGTCGAAGCACACATCGCTCGTTCAACAGTGGTCGGAGCATACAGAACGACCTAGGTAAACACAATAAATATTTTAGATAGAATTTCACGCTATTGTTATAAAATTCCAGTGTTTTCTTATTCTTAGAACGTAATTATTCTTAGAACTTATTCTCTAACTTAATTCAGGGAGCGTAGTAAGATTTCTCAGCAAAAAAGAAGCACCTTTTCAGTACTTTTTAATCAATCAAAAAATATTTTAAAACACTTTCCAAAAAAAATAATAATCATAATTAGGATCAGTGCAATAATAAATTTTTTTCAATCATTTACAGTTCTTAATTTAGAAACAAAATCAATACAATCCAAAAACTTTACTTATTCATGATAAAATAACTTGTTTTTGTTAAATATTGGACAGAAAATAGCGAAAATTATAAAGTTAAAAAAAAATGATTCTCCTTCCTGCAGTAATTTTTGAAGGATTTTTTTTTTGTCGGCAGGCATATATTCAAAAGATGCTTTTATTGCCCATTGGAGGGAAAAGAAATACTCATGATTTTTCTGTTCTCATTAGAGAATAATGAAATAAAAGAAAATAGGTTTTCTTTTTCTGCAGTTTTAGTTATTATTAAAGGTATTTTGCAGAAAGGTATTGATGCGATAGGGTTTGCTGTAAAAAGCTGGAAAAATTTTTTGCCTCGGGGCAGGCAATACGTGAAATTCAAATGGAACATTTACTTTTTATACTATGGCTTTATCGATGAATGTACGGGAATGAATTTCATAAAAACCTAAAACAAATTTTAAATAGAAAAAAATTCCTGAAATTTGAGCAAATGTATACGAGAAGCATATATCCAATATGTTAATTAAAAAAAATATATATTACAAACAATGCTGAATAAAAATGTTAATGCTTCCATTTATATTTTGTGTGAATTCTATTCTTGATCTGAGATTTTTAAATCACATGAATAGGAATTCCATTGGGAGACTTTAAATCGCTTGAATGCAAATCAAGATATGAAATTTTAAATTGCATAAATATTCAATTGCGATTCGAGTTTTAAATACAGTAAAGGCAATTTTGAATCGTGTTTACATAGGTACGAAAATGCATAAAAAAATTTTTTTTTCAGAATTTTGAAGGGAAAAAAAAGCGAAATTTTCTTTAAAAAAAAAAAAAAAAAAAAAACGGAATTCCGCGAAAAAAAACTTATCCTGGATAATAATTATTGCTATTGATTTAGTTTCCAAAATCTGATATTTTAGACACGGTATTATTTATTACAATAATCGAACCCTGAAACGAAAGAATTAATTGGGTGACCTCTTTTTTTTTAAAGAGTATAAATCACGCGATTTTGTCATGTTTTTTTTTTTTCGTTTTTTGGAAGTTACTACTACGAATTCTACGATTATCGATTATTATTATTTAATGTGATGATGATTTTCAAAACACAAAAAAGGAAATAATAATTTCAGCGTTTTTTCCATAACAAAATGAGAGAATATCACCCTTAGTATTAGAACTTAAATAGTAAATTAATAAATAAATAAAAAAACAAATTTTGTAATTACAGCACTTCTGTTACTCTAGTATACAGATATATTTGTAATCATTAAAAGTTTCTTGCATAAAGATATTGGTAATAGTGAGATTTATCACATAAAAAACGAAAAATTCTGCCACAGGGCCTTCTGTATTTTGAACTTTTTTATTTTCCATGCACAGTTGATATTTTTAATCTGAGTAATCATTCAAAGTAATATAAACTATCAAAATCTTTCTTGCTTGAGTGGAAAACATTTAATTTTAGAAATATATAATTTATGTAGAAAATGTGAAATTACCTCTAAGACTAAGGCAGCGGTCGAAGCACACATCGTTATTCCAGCATTCACCTGGGCAGCGGTCAAAGCACACATCTCTCTTCCGGCATTCGCCTGGGCGGCGGTCGAAGCACACATCTCTCTTCCGGCATTCACCTGGGGGGCGGTCGAAGCATACATCGCTCCTTCCATCGCTCCTTCGACAGTGGTCGGAGCATACAGAACGAGCTAGGTAAACATAATAACTATTTTAAATAGAATTTTACTTTAAATATTATAAAATTTCAGTATTTTCTTAAACTTAATTTAGGAACCGTAGAGAGATTTCTTAATAAAAAATAAGCACCTTTTAACCTCTCAAAAAATATTATAATCACTTTCCAAAAAAAAAAAAATCATATTTAGGATCTGTGCAGTAATAATTTTTTTTCTCGATCGTTTAAAGTTCTTAATTTATAAGCAAAATCAATAAAATCCAAAAATTTTACTCATTCATGATAAAACGACTAGTTTCTGTTAAATATTGCACAGAAAATAGTGAAAATCATGCAATTTTTATATAATTTAGAACAACAATTAATACGGCAAAGAAAAAAAACTCTTTTTAAAGAATAGAAAATTACGCACTTTTTGCGAATCCCGAATAAAAACATCCCTCTTAGGATACCTTTTTTTATTAAAGCTCCTATAAGGGCTTTTACAAAAAGTAAATAAAAAATAAGAACCTTAAAGCAAGTTTTAAAAACACTACACACCCTAATTAAAAATGTAAGCATAATGAAATAAAAATATAGAGTAGAGAAAGTGTTACGTGAAGTAAATCAGAATGAAAAGCAAGAGCTTTAATTTCTTTTAAATGTTATTTAAACAAAAACAAAAAAAACTGTACTAAATGTGGTGCAGAGAAGTCAAAAGAATTCTCTGCTAGAAGAGTTTAGAGCAGCAAGATTGGCAATTTCAAAAACTAGTTTTTCTCCCCATCTCTTTTAAACCCTTTACTAGCAATTATGCAAATCAAAGAAAATGTTTTTCACTCACGATTTGTTTAAATCCGGGATGAAAGTAGTCAGAAAGTAAAACAGAGGAAATCCAAGTGAATGTATAAATATATATCCCAAAATTTGACAAAAAGAGCGTGAATTTTTAACTTTTAAACCGTGTGATTATAAATCCTGATGATTAATTTTAAAATTGTGTGAATAAGTATTGTAATATTTGATTTCATCAACTTTCAAATCTCGTAAATAATGTACGATATTTAAATCACTTGAATAAGAATTGCAACGCGGAATTTTTAAATCAGGTAAATGTGAAAAATCGCTCTATGATAACAAAACGCGGTTTTGAAAACTCGTAAATACAAATCGCGATATTTGATTCTAAAATCTTGTAAATAAGAATCGCTATTTACGGTATTTAAATTGCGGGAATAAAAATCGCAATGTGCAACTTTTAAATCAGGTAAATACGGAAGTCGATATTTGATTTTTAAATTGCGTGAATAAGAATCTTGATATTGGCAAATTCTGGGCTTGGGATTTCTAAATTAAATTTATAGGTAATTCAAATTCAAAAATTCCAATTTCTTTGCTGTTCTATACTTTTCTAACCTCTTAAAAAAAATTGTTTTACCCACTTTAAAAAGACATGAGCAGTGAGATAAATCTTCAATGTTATGATCTTCTTTTGACTTCTTTGTACCATGTTTAGTGAGCTGAATAAATGATTAAGGATACAAAGTTTATTATCCTCTTTTTCTTTAACATAAAAATTTAAAAAAATCTACATTATAAATATCTATAATAAAAACTAAATAACAGTTAGCCACAATATGTAATTCTGAAATTTATCCCACATGCGCAAATTAAAATTGCTTACATTAGGTAAAATAAATATTTTCATAAATACATTTCTTTTAAATACTAAAAATAATTACAAAAAACTTTCTTAGAGAGTAATTCAAGTTTTTTTTATGTTGAAGAATGTAGCAATAAAATTACAGTAATTAGTAAAATAAATAAAACATTTCCTTAATTTACATAACCACTTCCTTTAAATACTAAATATTATTAAACCTGAATTAGGTATTTATACTTAATGGCACAGTTACTAAAAAAAAAACTTTTAGAGTAATTACTTTTACAACACTGAAATTTAAATTTATTTGTAAGATATATCTATAAGGCTCCAGATATATAGATTAAAATATTAAACAGAAATGCATCATACAATATTTGCAATTTTGTAACATCAGGTCAAATAAACTAAGATTAATAAAAGAACAAAATATCTTTTTCAATTTCTTGATTTATTTTAATTTTATAGCATGTTTGAATTTTAAGACACATTAAACAATTTTATTGGTGATGTGAAAAAGGGCCCATCAAAAAATTATCTGAAAAGATTATCCAAATACTTCTTTTTAAGCTTTTAGGATTTGATTCTATTTTTAAAAGCAAGAGAGTTTTAAAGAGCCGCAACATTTAGTTGCAGAGCTTGAGTCTGATTTAGAATCAGCCTGTCAAAATATAATGAAATTTAAAAACATTTTCATTACTGAAAATTGATATTGAATTTTAAATTTAGAAAACTCTTTTTTAGAGATCTGTTTATTAGGAGTATTAAGAAAATAAGACATCTTAGGAATATACTACACAGAGGTCTGTCCAGGCCGAATTTACTACCGTTTAGCGGTGTACCTTCACAAATTCAATTTTAAGAAAAACGGTAGTTTCACAAAATACTTTTTCAGAAAATTGTAACTTTGCATCCCTTAAGAAACGATAAGTCCATATTTTTGTGTAGATTTTTAAATATAATTATAAATTTTTCACAAATTATGTCTAAATTTTCACAAAATAGGTACCTCTCAGAAAAACCTAGATAGACCCCTGCTACATTATTAACAAGGAACTTTATTAAATTTTTATAGTAAAGATTCTTTTTTTTTTTTTTAAACTAACATACAACAGTTCCATTGACTTATAACAGGCAAGTAAATTAAAACTAAACTGAAAGTAAAATATAAATACCTTCTACGAGAAACTTAAAAGCAAAAGTTTTGAGTTCAAAATGCGAGCGTTAATTTTAAAATATAGATATTACTTGAATTTACTCATAATTTTGGAACAATTTCCATGTCGTGATCTGTCGCAGAATAATTGCCAAGTCTTACTTAACAAAAAACTTAACCAAGTCTTACTTAACAAGATCACAGAAGGAAACTAGAAAGACATAACTCATATTCATTCCACAGGCAAACCTCTTATTTTTTTTAAAAAAAAGAATTGCAAGTTTAAGATTCCTATGACGCCTTAGCGATTGTAGCTGACAGGACAGATCACAATATGGAAGTATTCTCCTTTATATATATTCAAGATTTACTAAAGATAAAGATATTTAAAACTCACGTCTATGTTTTCCATATGCTGAACTTTACAGGATTTAGGAAATTCTATAAAAGAAAAACAAACAAATAAATAAATAACAGAAAAATACATATTTAATAACTATAGAGTAAGGGTGCAAAAATCTGAGTTTACTTTTTGATGCACTCAATTTACACAGATTCTATTGTAATCAATGTCGTTTCTCGATCGCCCTTTCAACAGTTTCTGCTATGAAATTCCTTATGGTTCTAAAATACCCAATACTTCAAATACAATATTACAATGCACGAGTTTCGAATTTCAGTTAATAACTTTTCGACTTGCATTATTTCTACCAATTTTATTATGAATCCATGTGATGTTTCTAATGCTTTTTCGCGGCTTTTATAACCAATTTCTATATGGTTTTTAAAATCCTGAAACAATTATTTAAATATCACAAATTGTGAGTTATAAATTACATTTATCGCTTTTTGCCATGCTTTTTTTTTTGTTGCCTATTTCATCATAAATTTTAATGATTTTAAAGCTACACTTTTACATGAGATTTCGAAAATCCTGTATTTTTACTATGATATTATTACGACACAAGGATTTCAAATTTTGTAATTGTAAGCAAATTATTTGTAAGTTCTAGAGACTTTGCACCAGGGTTGGGTTTTTGACGTCAAAAAGTGGTTTTTGACATGACAAGGGTATAATACTGGTTTAAACCGTCAAAAACCCGTCAAAAATGTCAAAAACTGAAGTTTGCCAAGAAAATATATAAACTTCAAAACTACCAACAGTTGCCATGCATTATATTGAAATTTAATTATACTATAGGTAATCAGCAGGTTTTAAAATATTTTTTAATTAAAATTAAGGTAAAATAACAGATTTAAAATCTCAGAAATTTATATTCAAATGCATGTGCAGAAAAATTTTGCACAAAAATTGTTTAAATATTTATATTTAAAAAAAAAATTTTTTTTTTTTTGATACTTAAGAAAATTAAAAGTTTATTACTATGCATTTTTGACATATAAGGAACATATAACTAATATTTATAAGGAACTTACAAGTTATGTTGTATAAATACAAACTTGATACAAGTGTATAAAAAAAATTTTTAATGTTATACCGAATATCTTTATTATCCAGTATGTTAATTTGAATTTAAAAGTAGTTATATTTGTGAATAATGATAAATATAATTCATATTGTTTATTATATTTATTTATAATTATTACACTTATCATTTTAAAACAATTTTTACCTCTTAATTTTTTTTCCCCACTTGTATTAAGAATACAAATAATGCATATCTTGAAAGCAAGAAGTAATTATTCAACAGCTGAATATTTAGATATTCAACAAAACTATATAGTATTCAGCAAAATGAAATTCACAAGTATTTGGATAAACTAAATTTTCAGCATAGTAAATGAATAGGCTGAATATACTGTAAATCGACACTAACTACTCTGTGTATTTAACAGAAAGCACTTAAATTTGTATTGTCTTATGTTAAAAAGATTATTAAGAAGATTTAAAAGAATATTAAAAAGATTTTTCTTTAAAAGATGTCTAATGTACAAAACTGCTAATGTTTATCTTTAAAAATGTCTAATTTTTAGTATAATCTATACTATACACTAAATTTGGTTATAAATAAATTTCTTAATAATATCACTGCAGATTTTCAATAACACATGAAAATGAATACATAATATTACAAAAGATGTGAGCTTTCAAAAGTACAAGATTTTGGTTACTATTCAAAATATAAGTGTTTCTTCAAAATTTTAAATTTATTTTTTCTAGAACATATTTAGAAACACTATCCTTTATAAAAAATATATAAATTTTATGTATTAATTAAATTTCACATATGAATATAGGTTTTTGACATTTTCGACATTTTTGACAGTGAGGTTTTTGACGTGACGGTTTAAACCATGGTTTAAACTGTCAAAAACTGTCACATGTCAAAAACCTGCCAACCCTGCTTTGCACACAAGAAATACACACTCAAAACTGTTGGAATCATGCCTTCCAGATAGCAACAACTACCCCTTTATTTTTATGGTAAAAAATTATCAAAACACTATAGTGCGGCTTTCAAGAGAACTCGGACACCCATCTCGTGGTGGGTACTATAGTTATGAGGAAAAGTCACTTTGAATAGGGGTGTGGGCAGAGTTTGTGATTTTTTTTTTTAAATCAAAAAAGTTGAATTTTTTTTATTTAAATCTGATTTTTTTATTATTTAAATCTGATTTTTTCATTATTTAAATCTGATTTTTATTCAAATACACTGTAAGAACTTTGATTTATAATTAAAAAAACTTTATAAATGTTTAATCAAAATTAAATTAATATTAAAACTATATTATAAAAATATTTTAGAAGATCTAAACTACCTAAAACAATTTTTCATCATTATACATAGCTTTGAATGCATAGCAACCATTTTGAAATAAATGAATACTTTATCTATTCAAACAAAGTTTCAATATACTTTATCTATTCAAACAAAGTTTCAATCAGCAAACCATAATTTTAATTTAAAATTGTGATCTTTTTCTCTCTCTTGATTTTTAAAAAGACAAAATAAATGTAACAGATTGTGTTTATTGATGTAGTCATTTATCAAAAAGTAAATAAATATATAATCGATATATTTTTATAGTAAAATATTCATTTTTAATCCCATATCAAAATAAATAAGTTAAGCTATAAAAAAAAATTAAAAAATTCTATGTACCCATTGGAATTTTTTTACACAAAATTTCTTTATAGAAAATCTATAATGAAATAGAAAGCCTGACACAGATACTGTAAACATGCACCCTGTTACCAGTTAATATTCCTACTGCTTTAAATAGAATTTGAAAGAAAGTAGTTTCGTTAACTAAAATTAATTAATGCAGCACTTCATTTAAAATAAATTTTAAAACTAAGAAAAGAAAATAATAAAAGTATCAATAATTTAAAACACTGTTTTTTTAATTTTTCAAATCAATATATAAAAAAAAATCAGTTAAATCGATTTTTAAAAAAAAAAATCATCTGATTTAAATCAACAAACCCTGGGTGTGGGTGAATAATTTTGTTTTAATCTTGGCATAGGTCGGCATGAATATTCATTTCAGATGAATAACAGAAACAAAATCACTCATATTTATAATAATTTCAATTGACATATTTTAAATAACAAAATTTAGTAATGTATCACTGTTAATGTGTTACACATCAGTAAACTTAAACATTTCTTAAATTTAAAATATTTCAAGAAATTAATTTTTATTTACATAATATTCCATTAATTAATTTTATGAATAAATATAAATTGATCAATTATTTATTTACAGGAAAAAAAAATGATTTAATATTAACAAGAATGCGCAACCAATGTTTGTAAAAGTAGAAATATTTTTTAGAATACTATATTTGGAATTTAAATTTAGGAAAACTTAGTTTCTCTGTAACAGTCTTTCCCCCCCCCCCTCCAGGAAGGGTTAATTCGATTAACAAAACAATAAGGAAGATAAAAAAAATTTGTGAAGGGTCTTCATGTCTGATTAAAAGATAAATTATTTTGTGAAGAACCCGTTTTTATGAAAAGATATTTTGTGAAGGGTCCGTTTTTCTTCTAAACAGACCCCTGCAAGGAAAAAAGATTGCAGTAGGGTACCTACTCGAAGGGTATAACTCATAGCCATCCTTACTAAAAACACAATTAGGGACATGTAAAAAATTTAAGGGTACACAAAAAAAATTAAATAAATTCGATATGAAATGAGTTTTGATATATTAATACAGACATAAAATCAAAATTTTGTAGCTTTTATAATTCTAGACATAAAATTTTATAGCTTTTTATAATTCCATGACATTAGTACTAATTATACATGTCTTGAATTTTTAATTCTCAACAAATAATGTTATTAATAACTACCTACAAACCGTGAAATACACTTATAAAAATTAGATGATTTTGTTTAGTAATTTTTTTATTTATTTAATCTTGAAGAGATTGATCTGCTCCTAAGTTAAACTTGACATAGTCACCAACAAAATCTTTTTTGTCCTAAGAGAATTCTTCTATTCAAATTATTTATTATAGAAATTCATGATTTTGGACACTGCTAGTCTATATTTTAATCTACAAGTAAAAATACTTAGCAACACTTACTTAAAAATGTGTAACGACAAGTTCTAAATTTTGACTTGGTACTTTTTAGATTCTCTGATAATGGAGGAAATTTTCTTTCGACCAAGTACTTATCTTTGATCAATTTTTGAATATTTGACCTGAAGCGCTTCTTTGCTTCAGTGTAAAACTTGGGACTCTTTCGATACTTGGCTTCTTTAACAGGTGAAATACTATCCATAGCCTGATAATAAAATTAGTTTTCAAATTAAGAAAAATACTTGGAGAAAACTAAGTCAAATGTATAAATGGGTAATTTTTGCATAACATCTACACAGATTAAAACAAATCTTAAATAATGCAATCCTTAATTAAATTCTATTTATTACTTTTTTCAAATTATAGCTATAAAGAGCTAAATACAATTTTAAAACTACTGAAAATAATAGCTTTATTTAAAATAATAGCTTTATTTTGCTTTTTTAATGTCGAATAGAGTCAGGAGGAGAAACTTTGAGCAATTAGTTAAATGTAGCACTAGAGAAAAAGCTTAATAATTTACTTTACACTTAATACCAGAAAAATTAGTTAAAAACAGAAATTTAAACACAAACCAGCAAATAATATTTAAAATAGTAGCAATTTAATAATGAAGACAGTGTTGTGTCACAACAACCAGAAATAAGACGTGAGTTGTACCAAACAATTTATTTAAACATTCACACGAAAAATCACAAAATATTACCCAAAGAAATATCTCTTCTTAGAAAAAAACTCTCTTTTCAACTACACAACAAAAGAACATCACTTCTCGTGTGTGTCTATCAAGCAACATCATTTTAGCATTACCTCTCGAGGAATTGATGCTTTTAGCTCAGTTGTCACACACTGTTACGTTACAGTCTAACTCCTCCCTTCCACAGAGTTTTCTTTGCAAAAGTAGGAAATGGCAAAAAAACTTACATAAAATTTTGTCAAAACCGATTTATATGGGCTGACATAAAACTGTTTTGTTTATCTGTAAATAGGAAAATAAAAGTTAACAACAGGCTCAACTTGATGTGCCCAAATGACTAAGTTAGTCGGCTCAAACTATCAGCATTGATATGCATAGTTCCAGGTTTATGTATAACGTCGAAGTTCAAATGCTGCAAGGATAAGGCCCATCTTAATAGTCGGGAATTGATTCCAGTGTTTTGTTTAAGCCATACTAAAGGATTATGATCTGTTTGAATTATAAATTTGTGAGGACCATCTATATAGCACTTTAACTTCTTGACAGCAAATATAATTGCCAAACATTCTTTTTCTACGGTACTGTACCTACTTTCAGCTTCACTGAATTTTCTACTTAAATATAGTATGGGATGTTCTTCTCCTCTATCATTGATTTGCGATAATACTACACCCATTCCAAGGTTTGAGGCATCACACTGTACTATAAAGGGTTTATCAAAATCAGGACTGTACAGAACGGGGCTCTCAGATAACTTCAATTTCAGGGTTATGAAAGCCTTTTGACATTCGTCATTCCAAAGTATAGACTCCTTCTTAGATTTTCCTTTCAATAAATCCGTTATTGGGTTTGAGATTAAGGAAAACTCTGGAATATATTTACGATAATATCCAGCAAGTCCCAAGAAAGCCCGCACTTCACTCTTGGTTTTTGGTACAGGGAAGTCTTCAACAGTTTTTACCTTGAGTTCTCCTGGACTTCTTTGTCCTTGTCCCACTTGATGGCCTAGATATTTTACATAGAATTGTGCAAATTTACATTTAGATGGCTTAATCTTTAAATTGGCGTCTTGAATTCTTTCCAATGCGGTGTTGAGATGAATAATATGTTCATCCCAAGTGTTCGAGAAAATGGCGACGTCATCGAGGTATGGAAGAGCGTAATTTTCACATCCTTTTAGTATTTCGGCCATTAGTTTACTAAAATAAAAACGTGTATTCTTTAATCCAAAAGCCATTCTCAGTGGTCTAAAGGATCCAAAAGAAGTAACAAATGCAGCATATCGTTGAGCTCTTTTACTCAAAGGCAGCTGCAAATATCCTCTGGTCATATCGATTAAGCCTATATACTTAGCTTTGGACACTTGCTCTACTCTTTCTTCAATATTTGGTAAAGGATAGTATTGGCTACGAGTAATTTGATTCAAACGTCGATAATCTATACATGGCCTAGGATCTTTTCCTGGAGCTTCAACTAATATTAATGGTGACGCGAAATCAGATTCGCCTGGTTCAATGATCTTAGCCTTCAGCATTTTCTCCACTTCTTCTTTCAATATTTTAGTTTGACGAGGAGATATACGATAGGGTTTTGTATATATTGGCTTTTCGGTTTCTAATTCTAGATCAAATTCTACTAAATGAGTACAACCAGGGTCAGTTGAAAACAAATCAATGTATTTATCCAGTAGAAGTTTCAATTCGCTTATTTGGTGATCATCCAGTCAAGTTTCTACTTCACTATCCTGCAATAATTTCTTAAACTTCTCCTCATTTTCAAAATTAACCGGTTCCATCGAATAGTGCAAATCCAAAGCACTTGGAGTCATCAGTTGAACTAAATTAACGGTTTCAGTTCTTTGGAAATAAGGCTTTAGCATATTAACGTGATACACGTGAGTCGTATCTTTTTCCAAAGTTTGAACCACATAATTTGTTTCAGATAGTTTTTTCACCACTTTCATTGGACCAATCCATTGCACTGATAATTTATTAGGTCTTGTAGGCGCTATAACTAGAACAGCGTCGCCCATTTTAAAATCTCGCCTAATGGCTTTCTTATCATACCAAATTTTTTGTTTCTGTTTTGCATCTTCCATGTTCTGAATTGCAAGTTCCTGGCTTCTTCTCATTCTATTTAAAAGGGAGAAAACATACTCCGTGACCGTATTTTCAGAATCAATTTTATCAGATAATTTTTCATAAATTAATGTCATGGGCGTTCGAAGATTTTTTCCATCCACTAGTTCAGCTGGAGTAAATCCGGTACTATCATGTACCACAGACCTTAAAGCAAAAAGTACATGAGGTAAATGTTGCTCCCAATTCGTTCCAGTACTCTAAGCATAGGACGCGTAAAATTCTTTTCATAGTCCTACGAAAGTGTTCAACCGGATTACTTTGTGGGTGCTGCACAGAGCTATGTAATACTCTGATTCCAAATTTTTCCAAGAATTCTGTTGTAAGAGCGCTGACAAAAGACGTTCCTTGATCACATTGTAACTCTCTAGGGAAGCCCATTCTACTAAAAATTAACAATAATGCCTCCACCACTCTAGGTGAGCTAATGTCTGTTACTGGGATGGCATCCGGATATTTAGAAGACAAACAAATTGCAGTAATGAGATCTATTTCCTGAATCTGTGATAAGGAGAGGCCCACATGCATCGACATTTATTTCAGTGAATATCTCTGGAATAACGGGCACTAACTTTGAAGGAGCTTTCCTTTTATCTTGAGATTTTCCAACCCGGTGGCACAAATCACATGTTTTAACAAAGTCTTCAATATCTCGGTAACAATTTGGCCAATAAAAATTTTTTGCCATCGCATCCTTCGTTTTGGTAGCTCCTAGATGAGATACAACATTTTCATGACAGAGGTTCATCAGCTGAAACCTAAATTTTTCTGGTACCATTAATAGCCTCCTTTTTTCACCACTTCTATCTTTCTTCATAAAATATAAAATTTCATTATAAATCTCGTACTTATTCCGTGACAAAGGAGAGTCAAGAATCTTTTCAAAAATAATTTTAAACTCTTCACTTTCTCTTTGGGATTCTTGGAAATTTTGTGGCGAAATATTTAACAGTTCGATACCAATAAATTCTTTATTACAAGGTAATATCTTTTCAGTGAGTAAGTCATCGCTTTTCGCCGTTTGATCAGAAGTAACGATGTGTTCATTGGAATCGGCTATACCGAGCTGTACATTATCTTTATTTTCTACTTCCCTCCTTTCATTCATTTTTTCTTGTTTTCGAGTCATTACAGCACTTATCATTGGGATTTCAAACGAATTTTCCAATATAGCAGCCGTTTTGTTACCCAATAAATAATACCCTTGATCAAGAGAATCACCTAATACAACTGCCTTAGTAACCACTTTTCCTAACTTAGAGTTTAATTCAACTCCGGCTAATGGGAAACAAAATGATTCTTCCTGTATAGGAGTTTTTATAAAAACAAATTCACCCGTGTACATTTCAGGTTTTACAAATCTCCTAGGAATTAAATCCAAGGTTGCGCCAGTGTCTCGTAGCATTGAAATGCCAACGCCAATTACCACGCCAATGTTTGTATATGGTGTCATTATATCAGGAAACCTTGGTTCCGAAACGTGAAGTGAAGCCGCAGTTTCTGAATTTGTTTTCGCCTTGGGACAATGAGGGCGTAGATGATCATAAGAACCACATTCATAGCATCTAAGCTGTCTTCTTTTTTCAAATTCTCTTTCGCGAACATTTTCTTTAATATTATTTTTCTGCCAAGTCAACTTTTCTTTAGTTCTGGTATCACTTTGGTTCAGAGATCGCCAAGAATCATTTTGATTACTTCGATTATAAGACACAGACTTTTCCTTGAAACTGTTTTTTAAACTTTCATAGTCGTCAAGAAAATGATCTCTCATGTCATTTGGTACATGACGTTACATTTGCTCGGTAACCATCAAACTCTTAAGATCATCGAAAGTGGTAATTTTTACTTCAGAAACCCATTCGCTAAAATAGCAATTTAATTCTTGTGCAAAATTTCGCCAAGATTTTTCAGGTGATTTAAAATGTCGATAAAAATTTTGTTTGAGTTCCTCTGCATTAAGCTTATATTCTTTAAGAATCAATTCTTTTACAAAGTCGTAGTTATTGGCATCATTAGGAGACTCTCTCGCCAACATATTTAAAATGTCGGGTTGTACTACGCTCAATAGGTAAGGCACCCATTCATCTTTAGGAATTAGTGCAATTTCTGCTCGACGTTCAAAATTTATCAGATACAACGACATTTCATCTTTACCTTCATTAAATTTTGGAGTTATTTGTAAAATCTGTATTTTATGATTTGTTTCACCTGATACCGGTCTGTTTTGGTGCTGAATTTGAGAATTTGCTTCTAATTCGAGTTTACGCAATTCCAATTGATGTTGCCGTTCAAGTTCTTCTCGCCGTTCTTGTCTTTCAAGTTCTTCTCGCCGTTCTTGTCTTTCAAGTTCTTCTCGCCGTTCTTGTCTTTCAAGTTCTTCTCGCCGTTCTTGTCTTTCAAGTTCTTCTCGCCGTTCTTGTCTTTCAAGTTCTTCTCGCCGTTCTTGTTTTTCAAGTTCTTCTCGCCTAATTCTCTCCTCCGTTATACGAGTCAAACACATCTTTACATCCTCAACCTCATAATGTTTACTAGTTTGAATTATTTTTTTAATTTCACAAACATTTGCTTGAGGTGGAACAGATTCACCTAATTCGTCGGCCAATTCTATCAAATCCACTTTTTTCGCTTTATTAAGAAAAGCCATAATTTACAACTGATAAAAAACTAAATATACAATCACTGACTACCTTAAATCAACTACTCTTACTATATCCCACCGCTGCCACCAGAGAAATTCTGTTGTGTCACAACAACCAGAAATAAGACGTGAGTTGTACCAAACAATTTATTTAAACATTCACACGAAAAATCACAAAATATAACCTTAACGAAATACCTCTTTTCAGAAAAAAAACTCTTCCTCAACAACAAAAAAAGAACATCACTTCTCGTGTGTGTCTCTCAAGCAACATCATTTTAGCATTACCTCTCGAGGAATTGATGCTTTTAGCTCAGTTGTCACACACTGTTACGTTACAACAGCTAAAAAAATTTCCTGAATTAATTGTTCTGGAGAAGATATAATAATAAGTTCTTTATCTTATAACTATAAAAACTAAGAATTAACAAAAAATCTATATTAAATTTAGTAAGAATAATGAAAGGGAGTATTTTTATCAGGCAAAATAATCATTGAGGCAGAAATTGAAGCATTGTGACAGAAAAATATTTCAATAAAAATTAATTTTATATTAATAAAATTACATACTATTTTTTAGATGCATATAAGAAAATAACCTTCCTTACAGCATTAAGATAAGTCACAAAATTTTCCTTAAACTTTACCTAAAATTTAATTAATACTTTCTCATTCTAAATTTAACCAAGCAAAATTTCTAAGCCCTATAGAAGAAGAAAAAATCACTATCATTGTTATGGTGGTAATATTGTACAGTTTTTTCCAATGCTTATTAAAACTACCACTGATATTTGAAATCTGAATAAGTAGCAATAGACATTAATTTGGAAAAAATACTGCTCAACAAAATAATTTCCAAGATATATTTTGAAATGTATTTACAAATATTTTTCTTTATTTAACAACCAACAGTAACTCAAACTATACTAAAACTAAATGAAAATTTTGGCCTTATCTGTAATACCTTACAAGATTATAATCTATTTCTTTTACATGTAGAACAGTTAATAAAAATGCTGAAAAAAAAAAAGTTTAGCTGGAAAATTATAGAATAGGCATGGAAGATTACTTACTATAAATAATTCAAAAAATGAAGAAGATATGGGATTTCTCAAATTGATATAGTTAATGAAGAAGTCTCCTTTCTCTTCATTCTCCCAAACAATTATATGTTCAAACATTCTGTCTTTCAAATACCTATACAAACGTGTAAACACTTCACGAGATTCCTAAAATGAAAAAGAACAAAAAAAAACAATTGCTTTCTAACAATAAAATTTGCTCCATCAGAAAATTTAGAATAATATTGTTAGCACCATTTAAGAGCATAAATAAAAATTAATGCAATTTTAAAAATATATATATAAATTTCTACCATTAATTCACATGAAGTTTAACTTATCAGGTTTCCATTTCACTCAACATACAAAATTTACTTCACATTACATTGATAACTGGTAAAATTATTTACATTCAATACTTTTATTTTTACTATTTGATAAGATTGTCAGCGCCATTTAAGAACATAACGTCATAATACTTCACATTCATTACTTTTAAAATTATTTACATTCAATATTTTTATTATTATTTGATAAAATTGTTAGCGCACCATTTAAGAACATATTCAATTTAATAAAAAAAATAATTTCTACCATTAATTCACATGAAATTTAACTTCTCAGGTTTCCATTTCACTCAACATACAAAACTTACATCATAATAATTTACTTCACATTGATAGCTTGTAAAATTATTTACATTCTATATTTTTATTTTTACTACATTAAGTCGAGTAAAAGACTTATCAATTATACACTATACTTAACACATAACTTTTCTGAAAATTTCCCCATGTGTCTATTGTTTTTGAAAGCGGATGTGGAAATAATAAAATATAAATAAACTTTAAATTTTTTTTATTTATTATTCAACTTTTAATATCTCTTTTTCGTATGATGAAAAGTATAACAATCACCTACTTGTAATGGTACACCACAAGTTTTGCAAGTATATCAGGTTTCGTAAAGTTATAATAAATTGGTAGTGAATTGATTAGTAAAACTTGAAAAGTAAGAAAAATTACGCCCACTTTTTAAAATAGTCACTACGAGATCACTGCTAACATGATTACTATGACTCGTAACCGGACATCAACGCTTGGCCACGTAAACACGAATTAACTCGTGACCGGCCAGCAATGTGTTAACAAAATATAATTACTAGCAGCACTTTTGCGATTTAATCTATGCTAATATTACATTTTTTAATTTTGCTGCGATCCTAAAATGATTCTCGACTTGTACCATCAATAACATTTAAAATAAGTAATTCAGTGTTAAGGTTTAATTTAAAGGTTCTTATAGCAACATTTTGTATAGTTGCAAAACAATGAATTTAAATAATATTACTATCACAGTTTGATACTTATTTTAATTTTCTTATCACATTTCCTAAACGTTGCTAAGTTTATCCATACTATTATTTAAGAGTAAGATATCAACAATTTAAGTGTAAAATAATTTTGGAAACCTTACTGGCAAGATATTATATTACATTTATAAACACTTACAGGATCGGCTTTCCTTCCCTTTTTTCTTTGAGAACACTTTTTCATTTCCATAAGGAGCTTCTAATTAGAAAGTAACCTAAAAGTAAAATATTAGTAAACTTTATTATTAAAAACAAATGATAATAGCTATATTAACTACACATTATTTGAAAAGAAGAGTAGAATTTTAATTAAGGAGGAAGGATTCCCTTCAGTTTTTACATACGAGATGTATAATCCAAATATTAGAATTCTTTTAGAACTAAATACTTAGTAAAAATTGAGTAGATCTACTATTAAATAACAAGTGAAATAACTTTCAATCCTGAAGTAAATATTACCTGGTTGATAAGCTTCAATCTAATTGAATGAATAAAATTGATCAAAATCCAACTTCAAATGATGTAATGATGCCGCTGCCTGTCTGATTCTGTCGGTTGAGGAATATGACGTCATGCACTGGCTGCAAGGTGACCAATCAAATTCGCAGATTTAATGGAAACGGAAACTAATGTTCTGTAGCTCCGCCCGAATTGATTCTCTTGCATTCTAGAAACAAGAAAGTGTTTATCCCCCTCCTCCTCCACCGCTTCAAAACAAAGTGACTGATTCTGATAACTCGAATCAACAAATGAAAAATGCTTCGAGACAAAGAAAAAATAAAGTATTTTCTTTAATATGTGTGTTTGAAAATAACGCGTCGCTAAGTGTTATAGAAAATTCTGTTTTTGGTTTTAATTTCACCAAATCGCAATTTTAGAAATTTAAAATTAGGACGGAATGATTTAAAACTTTATTCATCGAAATACTTGCTGGCAAGTGGTGCGCTTAACATTTGGCACTTTCCTAGAATTCTTATTAATGAAATATTATTGTTATTGACTGTTAAAAAAAATTTCACTTGTTAAGTGATATGAAATTTCGCCACATTTACACCGATATTATGTCATATGAAATTTATACCGATTCATGAAAGGAGTGTAAAAAAATAAAATAGGTGTATAAAAAAAGTCAATTTAGGGCTATAATTAACTCATATTTTTAATTGATTAGAGAAGATAACAAAAAAAAAAAAAAAAAACTAATACGTAAACTAACAAAATTTAGAACACTTAAAAATTACTGTTTATTTTGTGTTATCATCACATATTTAAATTGAACGTGGCTGTTTTTATTTTATTTTAATTAAGTTCAAATTCTGCTAGAAATGTAAATTTTTTTTGTTGTCAAAATCTGCTTTTTTAGATTTTTATTAAATTGTTGAAACTTTGTGAATATTTCAACAAGCCACTTGTAAAATTAATTATCCAAAAAATCTGTATACACGCTTTTGAATTTTTTTAAAAAATATTTTCTCTTGTTGCGAGCTCCCTTTCGAACTGAGCTATTTCCCCATTTAAAGGCCACATTTAAAGAGCAAAAAATGAGTTGTTTCAATTTGGTTAAATTTTAAAGTTATATTATAATTTAATTAAGGTTGTTTTTCAGTGTTTCTTACACGTTTGTCAAACTTAACATTCGTAATGCCTAGCACTTACTCTTCCAAAATTTTCATTAGAATAAATTTAAAATTCACCTCATATGTTTTGCTTCAGCCTAGGCCGATAAAACCCTAGGTTAAACCCTGATATAGTCACAAAAGCCTATAGTCAGGTCAGGGAAGCATATCTCTGAAACTGTTTAAGAGGGTTTAAAAAAAAATTTCTGAAATTTTCATTTATGAAACTCGTTTTTCGATTATATGCGAAAAATAATTTTAAAAAAAATATTATCTAATTTAATTATGACTGCAATTTTTTTTGACTTGTTAGACAGACAAATTTTTACATCATTTTTTAAATTAGGTAATTTTAAATAGAAAAATCTAATAGTAGTAGCATTTTATTTACGTCACGCTAGAGCTGCACAATGGGCAACAGTCTGGGTTCTGGGAAACTAACATCCCTGATGATTGGAAGATGCGCCAGCACAATTTTGATTTTTGCTAGCTCCAGGGTTGGATTACCCATTAGGCCATGGCCTGGGCCCCCCTTAAAATGGATTTTTTTTAAATAAATTTAAAAAAATTAAGAAAAACACTGATTTTCCAAATTTTTTCAAAATGTTATGATTATTTTTTAGTTCTAATTTAACAAAATAAAGTAAAATTTAATTTATTATTATTTATTTTTATTTTAAATATGCTTTCTTAAATGAAAAGATAGATAAATACTTTTATATTTGAATAAATAAAAAATATGCGAGAAAAAAATGTAATCTAAGGGCCCCAAAAATTTGGATGGCCTAGGGCCCCGCGTACGCTTAATCCAGCCCTGGGTAGTTCAACGAACTGCGTGCAAGGCTGAGCTCTTTACGGTAGAACAGTTTAGCGAGCAACTATACCATTCTCCCTTTGTACATACGCTGGCTGAGTAAAGTGGTCATCCACGTGCTCACAGTAATGTCCGCAGTCAGTAATGCTTGAATTCAGTGTCCTACTGAGAACCGTATCTTTACGATCAGTCCACTGTAGGATAACAAAACTTGAAAAATGTTTCGCAATAAAAATTTATGGAACATTAGAAATTACTTTTTTTTGCTCAAACCATTTTAATAATTATTTTTTTAAAAGTAAGATTTATAAAAAAATTTTGTGTGTGTTGTTTAATTTAAATGTTGCTTAAAATGAAAATTTTGGTTCAAAAATCTTTAATAAAATTTATAAATCTCTGATGAGCTCACGTAAAAGTTTTTTTTTTCTTAAAAAAATGCTTACATGATATCTTACCTGAGAAAACTGGGGCTTTAGGCTGCGTTGGTCAAACCGTAACCTGTTGCATGATATTACGTTTGCTTTAAAAACTAAAAAAAAAAAAACAAGTTTACAACATTCATAATTTGTTATCAATATCATGAAAATATCGCTGATAAACAAATGTATTATGATACTACTTTAATCAATAAAGCCTTATCGAGAAAACTATATTAATCAAAAATAATAACTCTTAGGGAAATTCTAACAGAAACTTAATTGATAATTTTTTTATCTGATACGTTTAAACTTTTTTTTTTTTTTTTAAACAGATGGTGGGATTTTTCCCTCTGCATTTGAAATGTGAATTTCATCTATAAGTACAAAATATAGTTTTAAAAATTGAAAAATAACAATATAGTTTTATTTATTATTTCATTTTGTAACAATTGGCGTGACATAACGAAGTGATAAAACTCTAAATTTTAGATTCATCATTAAAATATATGAACCTTTTGAAATGCATACATTAAAATAAAAATAAATTTAGCATCTAAACTGAGGAAATTAAATCTGATTGATCATTAAAATATATTAACCTTTTGAAATGCATACATTAAAATAAAAATAAATTTAGTATCTAAACTGAGGGAATTAAGTCTGATTGATCATTAAAATATATGAACCTTTTAAAATGCATACATTAAAATAAAAATTAAATTTAGTATCTAAACTGATGAAAACTGATACTGAATAAAAAGAAAACCAACAAAACAGCAAGAGCGGTTATTCAAGCAAATTTTTCAAAATTTTGAACATAAAATTTCGAGCATTTTTGGAGTTTCTAATCGCGTAAGAAAAAATGATTATAATTGAAATTTTTAATAATTAAAAAAAAATCAATTTATAAAAAATAAGCGATTATTCAAGAAAATTTTGATTAAGTATAAAAATAATTTTTGGTGATATGTATGTAGTTGCAGTATCAGGATATAATACTTGAGAGAATTTCATCATCTACTTCCTCATTAAAATGCGCCAACCAGGCCAGAAGGGAAACATCCGGTGTCCACGGTGCCATCGAGTCTAGACGGGACGGGAAAAGTCCCGAATTTATAATTAACTCTAACTCTTTTCCATAGAACAATCTAATTTCGCATTTATTTCCTTTTTTCTATTAAATGTTACGTTAGATTATTAAACTATTGTCTTTATTTCCTCTTATGCTCTACAAACTCCAACATATATTTGCTTCAGTTTATAAATTAGAATACAAGTGAAATAAGTTTACGAAAATTTTTCTAATTGTTAGCATTAATTGATTATTTCAGGTTTAAAGATTTTTGCTTTAAAATAAATTAATTAAACTGAATTTAATAAGCCTTTTTGAAATTTATCGCACTATTCGCTAATTGTCAGTAAAAATTATTCAGAAAAGAAAACACTCATTATATAATTTTTCTTTCGTAAACACACATTATATATAATTTAGCATATGCCTAAAAATACTCTATGTTTAGCATTGAAAGAACATTTTGTCGCTAAAAATGGATTATATTACTAGGTATTTTTTTTTTTTAAGAAAATGTTAATTTTGGTATTTACCAAGTAGGCAAAGACTTTTATTGCTCAATTTTATTAGCTCGCTTTCATGTGTGTGAGGGTTGAATCTTGCAATCGAAATTTCGACCTGTTTTTGATTAGCTAGAGTTGTCAAAAAATTTAAAATAGTCAATAAGAGTTCCAACTACTTTTCGAGGGCTGCGGTAGCTCAGAGCGTTTTCCTCCCAATGAGGTGACCCAGGTTCGAATCTCAACGTTGGCTAGTTGATACGAATTCTGCTCTCAGCTCGTATCAACTATGAGGCTGATGTAAAATATCCTCAGTGGTAGATGGATCATGGGTTAAAATCCTTTTTCCGTCAGGCTAACGGTGGATGAGTTTCGTGGTTTTCCTCTCCACGTACATGGGTAACGTTAGGCAAATACGGGTTATTTCTATTAAAAAAATGCTTCGCAAAGGCTAGTTTTTCTCGCTGCTTGATTCAGGAGTTTCTTTTTCTTCTGGGTTTGGTTCAAAATTACAAGGCTACGGAATTAAATATAGATAGTCGTAAATTCAGAATACGATAGGCTGTTATTCATTGGTAATAAGAAATAAAAAACTACTTTTCGATTTACTAGAATGTTCAAAATACTACGTTGATAGCCATACAATTTTAAACCGTTTTCAGACTGTAACAAGCAGAATCGATGCATCGCAAAAATGTATTTAACGCCAATTAAAATTTCGACCACATTGTCACCAGTTAAAATGCTAAGTTCTAACTGGAACTTAAAAAAACGTATTTTTAAAATTTTTATTGAAAAATTATTTTTAATTCATTAGTACCTTGGGACTCTTTTATTTGGGAATGTTTCGAAAAAGGAATCACAAACACACATAAAAATTAATTTTTTGATATAAATAATTTTAATTTTATTATTTTTTTAAAATTTTTCCACTGACAACACGTTTAACTAAAAGCATTTGGCTGATCAAGTAGTGTTTATTATCAATCGAAGTCGAACTCGATGGCTGCAATTTTTCGTTAAGTAAAGAAGTTTTATTTTATTTAACTGCCTAATTTTCTATCAGAACGAATTTTAGTAAATTAAATCATAAGACTTTTCACTTTTATTTTTAAGATCACACAATATCAAAAATTGTGGCAATTTGCAATGTGTTATGCGGATATTTAGTTTTTAAAATTAAAGTTTCCATGTGAATGTTCGACAAAGCCACACATATAGGAAAAGCAAACTACGTTTTTAAGGTGTTCAGTAGAGTGGTTTA